CTCTCTGCACCCCGGATCTCCGCCCCGCACTTACCCTGCTCTCTCTGCACCCCGATCTCTGCCCTGTACTTACCCTGCTCTGCCCGCACCCGGTTCTCTTCCGCGCGCCCGCACCTGCGCCTTGTCTGCTTCCCAGCCGCAGCCCCCACAGAGCAGCCTCGGGTTGTGGGAGGCGGAGTCCTTCCGGGGTCAGGACGCAAAGGTAGGGAAAGTGGAGGGCCACGGGCGGGCGGACTGCGTGAGGGGCTACGTGCGAGGTCGCTCCCGCCATATTTGTAGAGGGCAGTGGGCTCTATCTAGAATTGCAGCCCTTTATACAGCTATTAATGGGTAGTATGGGAGTTGGTAACCTTTTAGGAGTATAGGACCACGCAGCGAATCTGGTTAAGACTATGGAGCTTTTCTCTGTAAAAATGGTTATGATTGTTCATTATTAAAGAAAATATAATAAACACACAGCATGCGTGTGCATGGACACACATGCACACCTTTTTCAGCCCCAGAAACCCATCATGGATCCCAAATCAAGAATTTCTGGGGGCTGGAGAGATGGCTTAGTGGTTAAGAGCACTGGTTGTTCTTCCAGAGGACCCAGGTTCAATTCCCAGCACCCACATGGCGCCTCACAACTGTCTGTAACTCCAGTTCCAGGGGACCTGACACCCTCACACCAATGCACATAAAGTGAAGTTAAATAAATTTAAAAAGAAGAAGAATTTCTGGCATCTATGAGGCTCTCCAATGGATACCCCCCCCCCACACACACACTCACATTCACACTCCCACACAACCAATCTATCTTAGACCCCGAGTCCTCAAGTGAGCTAGGTTACAGGTAGGGTAGATGGACCTATATAAACGGTGCATTTATTATTAACTTAGATTCCCTACGGTTGCCAGGCGGTGGTGGCAGCAGTGGCGCACGCCTTTAATTCCAACACTGGGGAGACAGAGGCAGGAGGATCTCTGTGAATTCGAGGCCAGCCTGGTCTACAAAGTGAGTTCCAGGAAAGGTGCAAGGCTACACAGAGAAACCCTGTGGTGGGGGGGAAGAACTCTTGTCTCTTGTGCAGACTCAGCTAAGGTTCCCACTATCCACAACAGGCAGCTCACAACTGCCTGTAACTCCAGTTCCATGGGGATATGATGCTCTCTTCTGGCTTCGGTGGGCACTTGCATAAAGGGGGTACACATACAAACATGTAAAATAAATAGTCTCTTGTGGTGATATATTGTGTACCCTAATAAACTATGCCTGAAGATCAGAGGACAGAACAAGCCACTAGATTAAACATAGAGGCCAGGCAGTGGTGACACACACCTTTGATCCTAGCACTCAGGAGGCAGAGATCCATCTGGATCTCTGTGAGTTCAAAGCCACTCTGGACAACATGAGATTGACCCAGTCTAGGAGAGAAACAGAACCAGGCAGTGATGGCACACACCTTTAATCCCAGTACTTGGGAATCACACGACTTTAATCCCAGCACTAGAAAGGAAGTAATATGGCAGGGCAGAGAAAGGTATATAAGGCCTGAGGAGACAGGAACTAAGGCCTTTTCAGGCTGAGGAGTCCTAGAGGTAAGATGAGGTAGTGGCTTGTTCCTTTGTCTCTCTGATCTTTCAGCATTTACCCCAATATCTGGTCCTAGGTTTTTTATTTAAAGACTAATTTAGATTTTGAGCAATAGTCTCTCTTCAAAGCCGAAGTTGTTTAAACATCTGTTTAAACAGCTGCATCAGAGGCTTGCCTTTTCTGACAGTACTCTGGAACCCTTTACCCCCAAGGTAAACTCAAAGAGGACCTTAGTTACTGAGCAGGATGGGAGGTAACATGGAGCTTGGTGGAATATGCTAGAATGATGAAACAATCTCAAGGCAAGAAGTTCTGTAGATGAGATTTTGTCAGGTGTGTGTGTGTGTGTGTGTGTGTGTGTATGTGTATGTGTGTGTGTGTGTGGTGTGTCTCTTACTGGTTTTTAAAAAATATGTATTATTTATATAAGTACATGTCTGCATGGCTTTTATCAGCTTTACATATATTTCAAATATTTTCTATTTGTTAGCTTGACTCTTATTTATTTTGAGATAGAATCTTATGTATACCACACAGTTCTTGAACTCTCCACATAGCCAAGGATTGTTGCAGAGTGTTTGTGAAGATGTATCTTTGCCAAGGTGCCTTCTTACTGGTTTAATAAAGGGTGAATGGTCAATAGCTAGGCAGGAAGAGGTTAGGTGGGACTTCCAGGGACAGAAAGGACTCTGGGAAGAAGAAAGGGGGTCGCCAGCCAGACCCAGAGGAAGCAGGATGGGCAGTGCAGAGATGCCAGTGAGACTCTGAAGAGGTCAGACATACGGACAGAACAGAGGTAGCTGCGCCACGTGGCAAAGTGTAGATGAATAAAACAGGCTAATTTAAGTTATAAGAGCTAGTATATATATAAGTCAAGGCCACTTTCATAATTAATATTAAGTCTCTGTGTCGTTATTTGGGAGTTGACTGGCGGGACAGAGAAAGACTTGTTACAAAGGATGACTTTGAATTCTTCTGAGCGTCCTGCCTCCAACTCTGGAGTGCTGAAATTACTGGCATGTGAATCCATGTCCCACCCTGCCTCTAGTGTTAAAGGTAGACTCTGGGACTTCATGCATACCAGGTAAGTTCTCTACAAATCAGTTTCTTCCCTAGCTCATTTTAAAGTTTTTATTTCATTTTTAAAAATTTGTGTTTTTCCTACTTTTCTGATAAAAGACCATGATCAAGTCAACTTATAGGAGAAAGGGTTTAATTGGGGCTTAAGGTTCAAGGGGGAAAACAGTGCATGATGGTGGGGTACAGGTGCCAGCAGGTGGCCAGAGCAGTAGCTCAAGCTCACACCTTGAACAGCAATCAGGAAACTGCAATGGAAAGGGCATGAGGCTTTTGTAACCTCTGAACCTGCCCCCAGTGACATGTCTACTCTGGGAAGATCACACCGCCTAAGCCTCAAACAGCCACCAACTGGGCATCAACTTTTTAAATACTAGAGACTTATGGGGATGTATTAATCAACCACAATGTGTATATGTGTGTATGCATGAAGCAAGTCTTTCTCAGTACCACCAGCTCCCAAATAACGACACAGAGACTTATTAATGAATTATGAAAGTTTGGCCTTAGCTTGGGCTTGTCCCACTAGCTCTTACAACTTAAATTATTTATTTTAATCTACGTTCTGTCAAGTGGCTTGTTACTTCATCTCTGTGTATTGTTAATGCTGCTTCCTCCACGGCTAGCTGATGACCCGGCCTTCTTCTTCCTACAGTTCTTTTCTCTCTCTGCACCTGGAAGTTCCACCTATACCTCCTGCCTAGCTATTGGCTGTTCAGCTTTTATTACACCAACCACAGCAATAATCTTCATACAGTGTGCAAATATTCCACAACTTGTGTGTGTGTGTGTGTGTGTGTGTGTGTGTGTGCGCGCGTGTGCACGCGCGCATAAGTTTGTATGTATCCCATGCATACAGTACCCAAGGAGGCCAGAAAAGGGCATCAAATCTCTTAGAACTGGAATTACAGGAGCTAGGAAGCGAATTTGGGTCTTTTTGGGTGCTGGGAAACAATCCCAGGTTCTCTTAAAGAGCATCAAGTGCTCTTAATTGTTGAGGCTTCTCTCCAGCCCCTCCCCAGCTCATTTAAAAATTATTATTATTGCCGGCTGATGGTGGTATGTCTTTAATCCCAGCACTCGGGAGGCAGAACCAGGCAGATCTCTGTGAGTTTGAGGCCAGCCTGGTCTACAGAGATCCAGGACAGGCACCAAAACAACACAGAGAAACCCTGTCTTGAAAACCAAAAAAAAAATATATATATATATATTATTATTAACATTGTGCATGTGTGTGTGTGTGTGTACACCCTTGGTATGGAAGACTGTCAGCTTTCCTGGGCTAGAGTTAAAGGTGTTTATAAGCTGCTCAACATGGGAAAACATACACATGCATACTGTGTACATACACAAATATTAATGAATAAAGTTTAAAAATACTTTTTCTCTGCTTCCTGACTTCTACTATTGTACAAACAGCCAGATCACACTTCCACCACCACAACTTTCTTGCATGATAGACTGTACCCTCGAATTTCACAAGTCAAAATGAATCCTTCCTCCTCTGCTCTCAGAAATCAGGATGGAGAGTCAGGAGAACCAAGAGTTCAAGGCCAGTCTGGCCTACATAGCAAGGATCTGTCTTAAGAACAAAATATCAGGACTAGAGAGATGGTACAGCAGCTGTAAACACTGTCTGCTCTTCTGGAGGAATTGGGTTCAGTTCTTAGCACTCACAGGCCAACTCACAACCATCAATAACTCCAGTCCCAGGGAATCTGACACCTTCTTCTGGCCTCCTGGGGCACAGATAGGAAGATGATGTACAGACACATATGTAGACAAAATGCCCATATAAACAAACAAACAAACAAACAAACAAATAAATAAACGAATGAATGAATAAATGAAATTAATTAAAAAAATCACCAAAACAAAGCAAAACAAAAACAACGCCCCCCCCCCCCCCAAACCCTTGTTATAGTAAATATGCACCACAGTGTGGCACTGTGTCCTTTGTCATCAGAGAAGCCCTGGTTAGCAGCAAGAATCCCTCCCCAGGTTGGACCCATTAGCATTTCCCCATGGAAGGAG